TATCTACTTGAAAAGAACACCGCAAGGCTTCAAGAGAATAACAAAACACTTGCAAAACGCTTGACATAGAGTCAGGGGCATAGTAAATACTTATGCGTGTTGCTAATAAATATAAATTACCCCTTCTCACTGCAGCTCTTGGGCATCCTATCTCCACAGGCTTGCCATACAGCCAGGATGCCCCTCTTCACAGTAGCAACTTTTAGTGGGTCTGTGTTTTCATTCAGTCAACATTTATCAAGTCCACATGCATTCCAAGCCAAGTGCTTTGAAGGCACTTTGAAGGGGCCAGTGACAAAAATAGGCCAAAATCTCTATTCAGGGAGAAGGGTGAACAGTGGACAGAGGGCACATGTCTGATGATGAAAAGGACTCTGCCTGGGGGTTGTAGTTGTTGTTAGATGCCAACAAGTCAAGTACAACCCATAGTGACCCTATTAAGCAACAGATCTGAACCCTGTCCTATCCTGTGCCATCCTCACACTTTCTGACACATTAGAGCCACTGAGGCAGTCACCATGTCAGTCCACCTGGTCAAAGGCCTTGTTCTCATTCACCACCCTCTACCTTTCCGAGCATAATGTCCTTGTCCAAGGAATAGCCCCTTCTAGCAACATACTGAAAGTGTGTGAGGTAAAGCCTCAACATCCTTGCCTCTAAAGAGCACTCTGACTGCACCCTCTCCAAGACGTATTTGTTTGTTCTCTTGGCCATCCATGAGACATTTAGCACTCTTCTCCAAAACCATAGCTCAAAGGCATTGATTCTTCTTCTGTCATCTTTATTCACTGTCATGTCCAGTCCTCAGATGCATAGCAAGTGATCAGAAAAAAATGATGGCCTGAATCAGATACACCTTAGTCTTCAAACTGGTATCATGACTCCTCAAAAATTTGGAGAGGTCCCTAACTGCAGATTTTCCCAGTGCAATATGTCTCCTGATTTCCTAATTACTGGTACTAAGAGTGTTAATTGTTGATCCAAGTGAGATGAAGTTGTTGCCACTTTCAGCCTTTTCTCCAACCATCATGATGTTGCTTATCAGTCCAGTGATAAGAATCTTTGTTTTCTTGATATTGAGATACAATTCATATTGAAGGCTGCAGTCCTTGATCTTCCGCAACAAGTGCTTCAAGTCCTCCTCCCTTTGACCAAGCAAGGTTGTGTCATCTGTATAACACAGTTTATTGATCAGTTTCCCTCTGATCTTGATGCCACATTCCTCCTCATAGACTTCTCAACTTCTCATCTAATTTTCTCAGCATACAGACTGAATATGTATGGAGAGAGAATGCAATCTTTACACACTCCCTTCCTAATTTTAAATCATGTAGTGTTCCCTTGCTCTGTTCACACAACAGCTCACGGGATGTCCGAGAGTTACACCAAAAAGGGGTAGTTCATATTTATTAGCAACAGCTTCCTGGTCCAAGTATAGGCTTCATCACTATAGGTTGTATGGAGATGTTGTTGTTGTTGTTATGTGCCGTCGAGTCACTTACAACTCATAGTGACCCTATGTACAACAGCCCTAAACTCTGCTCTTTCTTGTGCCAATCACTCTGTCTCTGATATACCCATCCTGATTACCCCAGTCACTGAATCAATCCACCTCATAGAGGGCCTTCCCCTCCTGTGCTGTCCCTCCACCCTCCCAAGCATGATGTCCTTCAAGGACCGGTCTCTCCTTACAGCATGTCCAAAGTATGTTAGACGGAGCCTCAGAATCCTTGCCTCCGAGGAGCCACCTGGTTTAACCCTTTCCAGGATGAATCTGTTTGTTTTCTTGGCAGTCCATGGTACCCTCAATACTCTTCTCCAGCACCACAGCTCAAAGGCATCAATTCTCCTTCTATCTTCCTTAGTCACTGTCCAACTCTCTGATGCATAACAAGTGATAGCAAAGACCATGGCCTGTATCAGATGCACCTTAGTCTCCAGAGAGACACCATTGCTCTTCAGTACTTTGGAGAGGTCCCTAACAGCAGACTTTCCCATGGTGATACGTCTCTTAATTTCCTGGCTACTGGTGCTGAGAGTGTTGACTGTGGAGCCAAGTAAACTAAAGCTGTGAACAATCTCAATCTCTTCACTATCCATCCTGATGCTGCCAATTGGTCCAGTGGTGAGAATCTTTGTCTTCTTGACATTGAGCCTCAATCCATATTGGAGGCTGCAGTCCTTGACCCTCTGCAGCAAGCGCTTCAGGTCCTCCTCAGTTTTAGCAAGCAGGGTTGTGTCATCTGCATAACACAGATTGTTGATAGATCTTTCACCAATCTTGACTCCACATTTCTTCTCATAGAGTCCAGCTTCCCGAATAATCTGTTCTGCATATAGGTATGGAGATAGGAGGCAATTTTCTATAAATAGAACCGGAGAAAATACAATAAAGAACTGAAAGAGACAGGGAGTGAGCATTAGGATGTTTCTAGGCAACGAATAGCAAGCACAAAGGCCTGATCCAATGGTGTGCTTCAGGAGTGTAAGGAATAACCAGGAGGCCAGTTCAGGTGGAATAGGATGAGTTGGGAGGAAAAAAATGATACATGAGGTCAGGAAAACAGCAGGGACCAGATAATGGGGCAAGGGGTGTCCTTAGAGACCCTGTTGACTTCTTCTCCAAGGTGGGAACCACTGGAGCTTTCTGGATAGAAGAGTGACCACACATGACTGCTGATGTGACTACTCCCGTTGCTACATTACAAATACACTGGGGGTGGGTATGGGTAGGTGTAGGGAGCCCAGCTAGGAGATTGTCATTTTAGGCCAGGTAAAAGGTGAAGGCAGGCTGCACCAGGGTAAGGTAAAAAGGCACCAGGCAAGAAGTGGGGAGAAGCAGCTGGGTTCTGGGACCATTTCTAGGATATGATATTCTAATTTAGTGGTGAACTAGATGCAGAGAAACAAAGACAGGAGTTGAAGATAACTCCAAACCTCTTCGCCTTAACAACTAATAGAGTGAAGCTGCCATTCATTGATGCAGGAAAATCCCTGAGACAGGGACTGTAATAATATGCTTGAGCACATCAGAGAGGCCCAGCATCTAAGTGAAGATGGTGCAGGGCAGGGCAAGTTCCACATCTGCCATTCACAGGATGGCTAGATGTTGGAGTCAACTCAATGGCACCAAATAACAACAATAGTACATATTTGAGTAGGAATGGCAAAAAAAGATGAGTTGAATGTTGAATCTGGAGTCCTGGGAAGTGGTCTGGGAGAAATAATGAGGAAGTCATCGGTGCTTGAAATGAATGTCATGTAAGCTACTAGACAGGAGAGAATAACCTAGGTGACAGAGAGGACTGGGCTCTGGGTCCCTGGACACTGAGTAGATGGAACAAGAGAATGCTTGAGCAATGAAGAACGGAGGATAGCTAGTTAGACAGCAGGAAAGGTTGGGGTTCTGGAGAGGCCATTCAAGAAGGGAATGGTCACCTATGCTTCACACTGCTGAGAAAGCAAAGTCCTAATAAGATGAGGACTGAGAGCATGACCACTGAATCTAGAAAATGGAGGCCACCAGTGAGACTGCATAGAGCACTTGCAACGGAGGGAGTGAAATCAAGAGGAAAATTGCAATGGAGGGAGTGGAATCAAGAGGAAAATTGGAAAAAGAGTAACTGAGAATGAGTGTGGACAACTCTTTGGAGGGCTTGGCCAAAACTGGAAGCAGAGAAATTGAACAACAGTAACTGGAAAGGGGATATGAGGTCAAGAAAAGACTTCTTTAAGTTTAGAGAAATAACTACATGATTGCAGGAAATAAGTTATCATGCAAGAGAGATGGAGAATGTGGTTGGAGCAATGATCTTGATGGGCGAGGAGAGAGGTCCAGTGCACATCCGTCCTCTCCCACTTGGCCCAGCTAACTCCTACTCATCCCTCAGGGGTCAGTGTAAAGGTCATTTTCTCAGGGAAGCTTTCCTGACCCCTTGGTTAGGCCAGTCCCCCTGTCATACCCTTTCACAGCATATAATACTTCTGCTTCACAGCACTTACAAATTGTGTAATGGTGCATTAAGCCTCGTGAGGGCAGGAGCTGGGTCTGTCTTTTTTGCAGCAGTAGCTCCAGAAACCTGCATGCTGTGTGGCACAGGGCAGATGTTCAATAGTTAGCTGGTAAAGGAATGAACTGTCCAAGAATAGAATGGAAATAAATCCTGAGACACGTGTCTGTCTTTTAGCTCCTGTCTGATTTCATCACATTGCAATGATCAGGACCATGCAATTACTGGCTGTAGCAAATATTTGGAATTAGAAAAGCTCAGTTGTTTGTTCCTGTTTGGGCTCTGTAGCTTGGCTAACACATAGACTAAAGCCACATGACAGGACACATTCTTCCATTAATTTGCCCACTACAAATGGAACACATTCAATACTGTATCTAGAAATGCACTCATTTCACAAATATTTGCCAAAAGCTTCCTCAGCACAGTATCCGAAGCATACAGAATTTATATTTATATTTCAGACACAGTATCTGGCTGGCCTCATGGAGCTTAGATTCCAGCAGAACAGATCAATATAAAAACCACTATGATTGTTCAGAACTGTGATAGGTGTTAAAAGGGCTAAGTCCAGGGAGTTATGATCTGAGGAGTCTCAGGAGGAGAAGAGAGATCACACATACCTTTCTTGACTTTCTTTACCAAGTGTGGTTCTAGGAATGGGGTCAGAGGTTGTGGGGTGAAGCAGGCTTCAGGAGCAGCAGGGCTGTACCCTTCAACCTTCAGATGTTCCATTCCCCTCTTCTTTATCCTCCCTCCCTCCCTTCCTTCCTCCCTTCCTCCCTCCCTCCCTCCTTCCTTCCTTCCTTTCCTTCTGTGGCTTCCAAGAGGAGTACCTTCCTTTCCACCTTTTCAAAGGTAATAAATGGCCCACTGAACTTGCATTGTTTTTTAGAAAGAGCTACCTGGCAAAAAGGCTGAGGTCCTGTACAGCACAGGCCATGACAGTAATGGGGACATCACTGATTTCACCATTCTGTTTACTTGCAGGATTTCATAGACATTTTTTACAAAGAATAACCATTCTGCAAGGATGATGAGGCTGTTGTGTGTGGTGTGCTGGTGGCTGGGACTGCTGGCTGCCGTGGGAGCTGCTGTGGGTCAGGAGAATGGTTTTGAGGGCACTGAAGAGGGCACAACAAGAGAGTTCATTTACCTGAACAGGTACAAGAGAGCCGGGGAGTCCCCGGACAAATGCACCTACACCTTTATTGTGCCCCAGCAGCGGGTGACAGGTGCCATCTGTGTCAACTCCAAGGAGCCCGAGGTGCTCCTGGAGAACCGAGTGCATAAACAGGAGCTGGAGCTGCTCAACAACGAGCTGCTGAAGCAGAAGCGGCAGATTGAGACACTGCAGCAGCTGGTGGAGGTGGACGGTGGCATTGTGAGTGAAGTCAAGCTGCTTCGCAAAGAGAGTCGCAACATGAACTCGAGGGTCACGCAGCTGTATATGCAGCTCCTACATGAGATCATCCGAAAGCGGGACAATGCACTGGAGCTCTCCCAGCTGGAGAACAGGATCCTCAACCAGACGGCTGACATGCTGCAGTTGGCCAGCAAATACAAGGACCTGGAGCACAAATATCAGCACCTGGCCACCCTGGCCCACAACCAGTCAGAGATCATTGCACAGCTTGAAGAGCACTGCCAGCGGGTGCCTGCAGCCAGACCCGTCCCCCAGCCACCTCCTGCCACACCACCTCGGGTCTACCAGCCACCCACCTACAACCGCATCATCAACCAAATCTCCACCAATGAGATTCAGAGTGACCAGAACTTGAAGGTTCTCCCACCTCCTCTGCCCACCATGCCTACTCTCACCAGCCTCCCATCCTCCACAGACAAGCCATCAGGTAAGTCCTTCCCTCCTGGCATCCCTTTCCATTGGAGCCTTGGGGTCAGACTTCAGGCTCCTTTTGAACATGATCACAATAGGGGAAATCAAGGCAAGCGGCAGTCGTGCCGATAGCCTTGTGCCACCTCGCATCCCTTGAGTCAGGCAATTAAAGCCAGTAATGTCAGTTATTATCACTATAGGTGCCACTGAGTATGGCTCATAATGACCCTATAAACAATACACCCGAACTCTGTTCTATCCAGTGACATCCTCATCTCTGACACACTTGAGCCCATTGCTATAGTCACTGTGTCAATCAATCTCACTGGATGTCTTCTCTTTCACTAACTCTCCATCTTTCCAAGCATGATGCTCGGAAAGAGACATGGAGAAGGGTCAGAGGGGGAACATATTCCTTAGATAGATGCCTAAAGGTAGAAGCAGGAAGACTCTCAGAAGAGAATAAATGTTCTCTGGCATCTAAGGAAAGAGCCCAAGACCTTTAGTCTTCTAGGATCCACACAGGGCACTTGGTTTTGGCAAACAGGCTTGCTCTCTTGGAAAGCCTGCCTGCTCCAGGGTCCAGTACAATTTCTGGCAGACAGTTAATTAGCATTAGTAAACGCTCACTTACTAGAGAGAGACCAAAGAAAAAAGAAAGGGCTAGCAGCTGAAAAGTATGACCCGCACATTTTAGAGACTGAGGAATGGGAAAGTGCCCACATTTTCTAGAGTCTGCATCTATCTAGAATTTTCAATGATGATTCAATATATTTTTAAAATACATGGTTTTTCTTAAAATATGGTAATTCTCAGAATTCTGTTTTGGGGGAAACCTGCGAATGCTTATGGAGAGGAAGTGGCTGCAGGAGTCTCTGAAGCTTGGCCAACAAATAGCACAGGCTATTCTCATGCATATTATACTATGTAGCTTTGAGAGGTTGCAGCTCTGAGAGGTTGACTGGCTTGCTTATTAGGCTTAAGATTCTCAAGTTGTATTGAATTCACAACTTTTCATTTGAGCCTTGGTGGCATAGTGGGTTACAAGTTGGGCTGCTAACTGAAAGGTTGGTATTTGAATCTACAAGTTGCTGCTGGAGAGAACGATGAGCCAAGATGCTCCCATAAGATTTACAGCCTCAGACACCATAACAGAGAGTCACTGTGAGCTGGAAGTGACTCAGAGGCAGTGAGTTTGGTGCTCTTGGTTTCACGTGAGGGATGGCCGCACCAGGACACTGTGAATCCTCTCTTCTGAGGACAGCAGTTTCCCTGGTAAAAATGTCAATATGAGCTTAGTCCTCATTTACATTAGGCCCCTGTTAGACTTGTAGATTCACTGTCATATAAGAACTAGAGCTTCCTTTGCAAAAACTAACCATGTATCTGCTCCTGGTTAGTGATGCTGGTATCTTTTTGTTACATAAACAGGAAGGCATTTTTACTGGAAATATCTTATTTTACACACACTTACTTCATACTTTTAAAAATAATCACCAGCAATGGGAAAAGCAACTTCTGGCTAATTTCAGAGAGAAGTTGTACTTGAATACAGTGTTTGCAGATCAGGGGTGGGATGAAGTATGAAAGCTAGATAAAGGGGCTGCAGCATCTCAAAGGAAAGACCTCAATGGGGTGTGGGGTTAAGAATATATGCTTTGGGAGTAGATCGTCCTAGGTTCAAATCTTGGTTGTCCACTGATTATCTCAGTGGATTAGGCAAGCTATTTTGCCCCTCCCTCCCCAAGTTTCCGTTTCCTCATCTGTCTGTTGGAGATTTAAAATACTGCCTATCTGAAGATTCAGAGAAATACTGGGGAAAAAATGTGGTTAGCACCATGCTGGTTAATATTAAATTCCAATACATGGAAGTTATTAGTATCTGCTCTTGATCTCTACTTCAAAACAAAGAAGATTAAAATAAATAGTCTCTTTCTAGTGCTGCTGTGCCACGGCTGATGATTGCCCCATCTATATACGTCTGTTTTAAATAAAAATCTTTGAAAGAGAGGGCAGAGTGTCTTTATGCACTTTGGTAGAATACTCAAAGGGTAAAACGTGCCCTTGAGCCCCAATGAAGGCTCAGTTAAATGCCAGTTATAATCTTAGCATGAGTCAGGCTGGTCTCAGTGTTTACCCAATCGGATCTTTTCGCTCCTAAGCATCTCTGGTTTCTGACTCAGCAATTTCAGGGCAGTCCTGAGCTTGAACTGAGCTGGTCAACATACAGTGTAGGACTGACAACCTGGGTATACATCCAGGATCTACCCCTGGATCATGAGTGGTTTGCTTATGAGAAAGTTACTTAATTTCTCTGAGCCTCAATTTCCTCCTCTATAAAAGTCATAACATTACAAGGTTGTTATGAAACTCAACACAATCTATTTTATAATAGAACGTCGTGTAGTATGTAATACAACTACTCTGTGCTCATCACAGAGCTAGATAAGGGGGAGCAGATGGGGAATTGGCCTCTGACTCTAGAAACTTAGTCTGATCAAGGTGAGAGATCTGAGAATATATCTGAGATTCATTCAATCATCTAAAATCATCTTTGGTCTGACAAAAGATCCCTCTGGAAGATAACATCTGGAAAGACTAGTATTTTCAGAATATTGTGGGAACGTATTTCTAATAACAAAGTACTTTAAATCAGGAATGTCGTGAAACCCTAAGTTCTGTAGTTACTGAAGTAATATCATAATGTGCTAAGTTGTCCCACAAGTGGTATGGGAGGAAACATAGGGGCATGTGGGAAGTGGGATTACTTAAGCTATGTGGAGGGGAAGGGAAAAACTGGATAGGTGAGAATTTCAGCATTATGCCTTGAAGGATTTGTAAGAAGTACTTACCCAGAGGACTTGGGAGTTCAGATACCGATACCTAGTTGTTACTAGTGGGTCCCATACATAAAATGTGCTGAGAACCATGGGGACTGTTATGCTCTTGACATCGCAGGTGGTTCCTTTGCTCACTACTGAGTGTGGACTGTGGCAGAGGTGAGGAGGCCTGTGTGCTGTATGTAATTCCAAGGTGTCCTTACCCCTTACTCTCTATTAAAAAAAAAACAACCCATGCTGGCATGAAAGGCAAGATAACTTGAATGCACTAGAATTTCTTCTCTTTTCTCTTCTTCTAGTCTTTCTTAATTTCTAGCAAAGCTCTTGTACAAACATTGGTACTTCATCAGCAGTGACAGATCTATGACTCATTCTCAGTACTGATTCTCCATGCAAACCATTACTAGCTAAGCCTGAGCCTGAACCCTAGCTATGGGAACAGAATAGGTAGACAGAACCCACAAGTAGAGCGAATGGGGAGGACCTGCTTTCCCCTGGTGTGAGATTAAGACAGAGGAAAAGTCAGATGGTTTCCTTCTATATGTCAGCAAAGACCTGGCATGGGCTTTACCAGGTCTGTGACAGCCAGTTGGTGATGAGCTCTTGTCAGGCCTATTTTGAAAGCTTGCAAGGCAAGGTCTGGTCTTGGCAGACAAATTTTCTTTTGTACCTCACCCAACAAATTCATTGTTCTGAGGACACTGTTTAACCAGAAATATCTTTGTATCTAAGTCTTGGCAGGTTAAAAATCTTCTTCCATTCTGAAACCTCTTGTCTTTTCCTTATTGTCTGGGATGCTCAGTCCATCCATATTGTTTACCAGAAGACTGAGGGAGCCACGTATCTAAATCTGTACTCAATTACATGTCCCATCTGAGAGATTAGAACAGGCTAAGTCCAGACCTGTCTCAGGCTTACCAAGGGCCTAAGTGAGGGAGCGCAAGCAGCTACTCAGCTTCCCTGGTCTCTCACCTATGCTTTGTCCTGTCTATCTAAGGTCTGACAAGACTACCTGAAGCTTGAGCTATGTGTGCTGTTGCCACCCACCTTTCCACACCACTCCTTTCCTCTCTGCTTTCACAGTCACACATCTCTCCATTTCCTCTAGCATGTGCTCACGCGCTCTCTCTCTCCCACACACACCCACCCCAAAGGTCTGTTAAAAACAAAGGTTGCAGATGCAATCTCTAAGATGCAAAGGAAAAGGACAACTGCCTCAGTTCTAGCCTTCTCTCAGGACAGGCTGAGAGATTGTTTCTCAGTTCACCCTAGGCTAGGTCACATATACAGAAACCTTCTCATAGCTCCTTCCTAGAGAATTATCAGGCAACAAAGGGCAATGCTATCACCAGCTGCCATAGTAAGGCTTGTTTAAAATGAATTTCTAAGGAACAAAAGCTCTAGTGACCTAGAGGCAAGAAGCTGCGCTGCAATCCCTAAGGCATATGGTTCAAAGCCATGGGCAGCTTTGTAGGAGAAGGATGAACAATCTCTACCCTTGTGTTTAACTGCCTCTGAAAACTTGCTGGAGGGTCAGCTATGAGTTGGCTCCCACTATACAATACACAACAACAACAAGGAACAAAAGAAATGGGTACTTCCACAGGAGCTATTTTCTGAGAGGGAGAATACATACAACTTTGTTGTTTAACAGGTAAGAAAGGGACCATAAAGTCATAAGAAATATTCAAACTCTTAGAGACCTCTCAGACTGGCAGAGCCAATCAGTTCAGACCCTAAACTTACAACTTCCAGGACACTGAGGTTCAAAAAAGTTACTCAGCTAGTGAATGGCTCTGTCAGGCTCAAGCTCAAGTGTTTCTTAACCACTCATATAGCTTTCCCCTGGAAAGGGTGGAGGGAAACTGGTGTGGAAGTCACTCATGAATAGTTGACTCAACTCCAACTGCTGGTCGCCTATGACTTGATCCTTTATCATAGTTTCATGGTAATAAGCAAGTCATTGAGAAAGAGCTCTGGGGAAAGGCTCTACTGAACTTGTTACTAGAACTCTCTTGGTTTGAGTAACAAAAAGCACTGAGAAGCTTCTCATGTCAGATCAAATCCTTGCCCAGGCCTACTAGGCCTCAGGTAGAAAGCATACATGCACCTACTTTTTAATTTTTATTAAATCTGAACACATTCTCAAGGGTTACTTTTATTCAGTACTTCAAAG